ATTTCTCTCTGTTCCCTCCCTCATTATTCGTCCCTCTGTTATTCCCTTTTTTTTCCTACAAGTACTCCTACAAATGATACAACTACCGCTACTACTAATACTACTGCTGTTACTAATATTAATGAAGTAGTTGTTACTACTGCTGCTATTGCTATTACTACTAATAGTGTTACTATTATTGCTACAAAATACTACTACTACTATTACTATTACAGCTGTTACTACTAATGCAACGACTACTGCTACTACTACTACCACTGTCACTACATCTTAAACTACTACTACTGTTACTAAGACTGCTGCTGCTTCGTCTACTACTGCAACTACTACTACTACTACTACTGCTACTGTTACTAACATTACCGCTACTGCTGCTACTACTAATGATAGTAGTGCTACTGTTACTACCACTACTACTATTGCTATTACTATTATTGCTATTTTTGCATCCAATACTACTATTACTGCTATTACTACTACTGCTACTATTACTGATACAATAAATATTACTTTTACCACTACTGCTACTATTATTACTGATAATATTATCATTACTGTTATTGCTACTACTATGACCGATAATACTAGTGATAATAATAATGATAATGATAACAATAATAGCAGCAACAACAAAATGATAATAATCATAATGATGATAATAACAATAGTAATAATAATAATAATAATAATAATAATAATAATAATAATAATAATAACAACAAATAATAATAACTATAATGATACTACTACTACTAAAATAATGATAGTAATAGCTATAATAACACTAATGATGATGATATTGATGATGATGTTGATAATGATGATGATGATGATGAGGATAGTGATTATGATGATCGTGATGATAATGATGGTGATGATGATGACTGATGATGATGATGATGATAGTGATAGTGAGTTAAGGAAAATATCCGAGAAAAGACTAGTCATCCATCGCTATGAAGCTGGCTTGCAATTGCCGAGGTAAGTGCAACACAGCGAGCGACGTTTTCTCGCTCCTCTCACTTCCAACCTGACAGCAAGACACACGTCCCACCGAAACGTCATAGGATTTTATTCAATGAATCAGTTTTCATAAACTTGCTGTGTCAAGAAAAGGAAGCTTTCAGAATGACAAAGTGAGAAGTATTTTTAGCGAGTGATTGATTGCACCAATAGTCAGGCTTGTAAATGAACCGACGATTGGTTGACTGGAGTCTCTAACCATCATGCTCAGTTTAGGGAAATAATATATCTTATCAAGAGACCCACAATTGTTCATCCTACAAGACCAAGCGTAATATATTCCAAATACCATTCAACCTATCATGCTTCACATAACAGACCCATCTAGACGGAGATATTTGTGTGGGTTGCCACAGGAACATGCAGGAATGCGCAGGAGCAGGTCCCACATCTTCTTCAGAAAAGAGGTTGTTATTTATTCAACTGTCCTTCGGATGTGTTTTATTTCTGAACAAAAATGAAGAACTTCTTTTCTCAATAATATCATTCAGAATATTTTTGCTAATACTTTCTATAAGAATGCTTTGGCCATGGAACTGCAGTGTGAAAAACTCAGAAAACGAGATACGAATAGAAAACAATGAAGATGCGTGCTTTTAGCAATGGTTGGAGCAGCTGCTTGCAGGCTTCAAATCTACTTTCAGATTTTTTTCCGTGAAATAAATGCTTCGCATTTTTTCCCATTAAGTCGGTTCCACGTTGGATCTGTTGGGAAATGTATGATATTCACTCTGCATACTTGATATACTGCATGAATGACATATGTTTCTGATGAAGATATCATCGAAACTAGTCAGATGCATCTCTTGCGCTGTGAGGAGATTCATTTTCATTTATGTCATTTCTTCATTTGTCGCGATGAACACAGTTGTGCTGCGAGTTCGAGTGGCCTTTCAGCCATCTGGATTGCTAGCACCAGGTCACAAAAGTGACGAGGAATTTGCTTATTTTAAAGTTCTCTTAAATCTGACAATTCTCAAAAAGAAAATGGGAAAAAATATAAAAATGGTAAATAATAAGATGATAAATTGATATATGTAGTCTAAAGTGCATGCCGAATGTCTAGATCTGTGTTTTTGCGCAAAATGATCATGACGGTAATGACTATTATCCAAACGGATGTACGCAATTTGACCTTGGCATTTATGAGGAGAGTTCAGTGTCGTCAGCAACTGTGGGCATCGCGGGATTACCAGTTACATTCGTCGTGATACAGATAATAAACGGTCAGTTGATCGAACATTTTCAAGGCGGATTCAAGTCCTTATAAATGTTCGTATTATCATTATGTATAGGAAGACCTTGAATTTTACACAGTGTATGCACAATTAGGGTATAAGCAGTTTTTTTTTCTTTCTCACATGCATACCGTGTCATACATGTGAACAACGCCAACTCCAGTTGGTTCACCTACTTGGTTACCTGGAGGCAGAAAGACACCATTGCTGAAACCGTTTTGAGTAAAGATCGAAAGGCA